AAAGCATTGCACGGACTTACAGTATGAATAACTTGTTCGAAGATATAAAAATATAAAAATAAAAGGAATAAAAAAAAAAATCAAGAGTAAAGACATCTCAGATATGGTTAAAGTGCTGCATAAAGTTCTCAAAAGAAATCAAAAAGTGCCTTGGCCATCATTTAACCGCTCCCACCTTTCACAGAAGCACACGCTAGCTTACTGACGAGAAGAGGGCCGTAACGGAGGACAAGGCCAGATCTGTTCTTGTGTATCCTGCAGTCTATGGTTTGCTGTTTTCTCCGACGCATCCTCATCATAAAAGCACCAGAAACCATCATAGAAGTCGTCCATGTCTTGGTCCCCTGTCTGTGCTCGTCTCCTTCTGTTCCCCTCTCCATCCTCCTCCCGCGTGTCATGTCCTCTGAACGCCAGCATGCTGGAGGCATCCAAAATGTAGACGGCGTTGGTGTGTAAGGAGAGCTCGAGGCCGGTGAGGTACTCATCCACCATCTCCTTGCAGCAGATGAACTCTGTGCTCTCCATCTAGAACAAGTGCAAACATCCACGTGAGTCACGTTATGGCACAGCCCTGCAATGGATGCCATGGACAAAGCACTTTATGGGGTTATAGTTGACCCAAAAATTGAAATGATTAAAATGCTGTCAGCGACAAAGTGCCATAAAAGTGGTCCATATGATGCTAAAGTCTTCAAATGCCATGCAATAGCTTTGTGTGAGAAACAACACTTTAAAAGGGATAGTTCACCCAAAAATGAAAATTCTGTCATTAATTACTCACCCTCGTGTCGTTCCAAACCCGTAATACCTCCGTTCATCTTCGGACACAAATTAAGATATTTTTGATGGAATCTGAGTCTCTCTGACCCTCCCATAGACCGCAAGGTAACTACCACGATCAAGGCTCAGAAACATAGCAAGGAGATCGTTAAATTAATCCATGTGACATCAGCGGTTCAACTGTAATATTACAAAGCTACGAGAATACTTTGTGCGCAAAAAGAAAAAAACTCCAAAATGGCGCTGTAGGGTGACGCAGAGGAGACGAATTGTTGAATAAAATAATTTCTTTTTCTTTTGTGCACAAAAAGTATTCTCGTAGCTTCGTAATATTACGGTTGAACCGCTGATGTCACATGGATTAATTTAACGATCTCCTTGCTATGTTTCTGAGCCTTGATCATGGTAGTTACCTTGCGGTCTATGGGAGGGTCAGAGACTCTCAGATTCCATCAAAAATACCTTAATTTGTGTTCCGAAGATGAACGAAGGTCTTACGGGTTTGGAACGACATGAGGGTAATTAATGACAGAATTTTCATTTTTGGGTGAACTAACCCTTTAGGTTTTCAAAAAGAGACCAGTTTTCTGCAAATTAAAAAGTCGTTGTTCATTTTTGGACAATTATAAAAAATGTATTAATAAAAAATAAAAAAAAAGTTAATAGTGATGCACCAAAATTTCAGCAACCCAGAAACATTTGGCCAAAAGATAAAAATATTTTAAAAACAGTTTTATGGGGTCTGAAAACACTGATGTTTTATTACAAGCTGGTTAAACATTTAATCCTTAAAACATACTAGTATCTGGTATGCAACTAGTACGGTAAAACTTTATTTTAAGGAACAATTCGCACTATGAACTAACATGCATA